CACACGCCTTGTTACCGTACAAGCATGTACGGATTTGAAACCAACAAACACACGAGAGATATTTGTAAGTGCTCCCCTTGTTTTGTAAAGTTCCTTCAACTCCCGCGATTCTGAATGCGTGCCTGAGAGTTTGGGGGCAGACCCTGCAATTGGTCTAGATTGCTCGGTAGAAGGGTTTAAATTGACACCTGGGACAAGTTGAATTGCCGGGACAGGCCCTTGAATTGGCCTGACAGGGATATGAATTGGCCTGGCAGGGACATTCCGACAGTCAGAATTGGCCTGTCCGGGTGCAGAATTAGCCTGGCGGGACATTCCGACAGTCAGAATTAGGCTGACAGGGTGTCGATTTGGCCTGGCAGGGTGTTGAGGAAACGGTCCTCTCCCAACTCGTGTGGTTGTCGACCAGGGGATTTGACCCCGGGTCTGCGCCTGACTAATGGGGAAGACTTACCCCAGAACCTTATGGGGCTACCGATGCATATCCGGTAGCTAAGTGATAGACATTAGGGCACCGTCTGGACGGCGCAGTGAGATCGCGGAATGTACGTGCAGTTAGATCGCGGAATGTACGAGTTTTCCGCTAGCGCCAGTATTTAGGGCGGTGACTGCGCCTATTTGTTTATCTCACAACGATCGGTATTCCTACCAGGAATCTCCTCAAGTCCTGCCGAACGCTAACAATACTCTTTATATTACTTGTAACAGTTTATCGTGCTAAATATCTTCGCCACCGGCAATCCTTCCGGAACAATTAGCGTTAGCTGTCACCGTCGCCAATTCTCCAATACAGGGACATTCGGACAGTCCGAATTAGCGTGTTCAGGGTGTCGAATTAGGGAAGCACGGGAATTGTGCGACCGGGGCAGTCAAAAGAATTGCTCTGCCCGACAGTTTGTCCTACCCTCTAGCGACGGTGACGGCTAACGCAGATTGTTATCTCGGAAGAATTGCCGGTGGCGAAGATACTTAGCACGATAAAATGTTACAAGTTATGTAAAGAGTATTATTAGCGTTCGGCAGGACTTGAGGATTTTCCTATGAGGAATACCGATCGTAGTGAGATAAACAAATAAGCGCAGTCACCGCCCTAAATACTGGTGCTAGCGGAAAACTCGTACATTCCGCGATCTAACTGCACGTACATTCCGCGATCTCACTGTGCCGTCCTGACGGTGCCCAAATGTCTATCACTTAGCTACCGGAAATGCATCAGTAGCCCATAAGGTTCTGGGGTAAGTCTTCCCCATTAGTTAGGCGCAGACCCGGGGTCAAATCCCTGGTCGACAACCACACGAGTTGGGAGGGGACCGTTTCCTCAACACGAACACCAAAGAAGGCTTGATGTGGCGTGACGGTTGACCCAGCAGTTGGCGACACGTTCCTGACGGGGTTCTTCACGAGGGTACCCCAAAATTTCGGCTGTGTCCGAAATCCTCTGAAAAACCTTTTGGTGCCCTCCCCGAAAAATTTCCTGTCAGCCAGACCGTGTTTTCGGGTACCCCGGAGCTGTCTGAAACGGTCTTCGGGGTAGAAATTAGCTGGATTCTATCGTTATATGCTATGGCGGCTGAACTAACAGATGTTTGATTTTATTTTGGAACATAGGGCCTGGGAGATAATATTTCAGCAAGGAATTTACGCAAAACCAAGGAGGCGCCGCTCCTCATCAATCTCTGCAGCAATCGCCTCCACCACACCTGCCACATCTTCATCGTCCGTCTCCTCAGACGGGTACACCTCATCACTTGCCACACTCTCGACCTCCTCGTTATCAGAAGGATAATAGGCCTCAGCAATTTCACTGCCCACACTGCCCTCATCATCACTCTCATCAGGCAGAACACAGTCGCCCACCTTGGCAATACGGTGCAGGAGCCCATCCGGGTTCTTTGCAACATACTCCTCAGCAGCTTTAATCACAAGTGGCTTGCATTTCATATCCACGGTTGGACCGAGTAACCCAACACGCAGAAGGGAATCAATGGATGGGACAGACAGCCGGTTGCGCAGCCTGGTCTTGATAATGCGGTGGAAATTAAAGCCACGCTCAACACACGCTGTTTGAGTGGGTAGGACACAAGCGACATCGGTCTGGTCTGGGTTGACACTACTGCATTTAGCGGTTTAAGGTCCTGGGTTCGATTCCTGGGGAGACCCCCGAATTAGTAGGGAGCGCGAGATTATGGCTAGCTGCTAAGATATGGAGTTGAGGTCACAGTTGATGGACCAGATTCGCACGCTGGATTAGTGTCGATTGCCGAACACTCCGTCTCTTCGGGTGTTCGGGTGAATGGATGAGGAGGGGTCCCTGAAGGCTGGATCCGCCGCCTTGGACTTACAGTTCGTATGGCGAAGTACAGTGTGGTAGAGGTGGATGGTGCTATAAGGTGATAAATGATCGTAGAACTGACAATGTGATAAAGCGGCCCAGAAGCCTCCCACTCTGTAACATTACTATTTACTACTATTTACAAGCGACATACACCAACTTAATCAAGCGTGGAAAGAAGTGGGCCCACTGATGCCCAGGCCCGCTCCCAGGAGGTGCGTCCCAGCTCCAACTGCAAGGCCATCTTAGACTTCATAACTGAAAACTCTTTCTGCAAATCGTCAAATTCGCTGACATCAAATGCAAACAGGCGGGTAGAGCTTGCCGAGTGGCAAAAGTGTGCCAGCAACTTCACGAACTCCTTACGGCCATAGCCACGCCGCTCATCCTCAGACATGCTCACATATGTAGCAGGATCGAAAATACGAAAGCACTTCAGGAGCTCACTGTCTCCAAAACGTGCATCCAAATGCTTCAAAATTAAACCCACAAACCGACAAGCAAAAGACTGTAGCTTTCCCTCATCCAGTGCGCCGGAGATCTTCACACGGCTGGAGCCCACAACCCAGAATCGCCCTTGTAGAGCATTCTTAAAGCCGGTATAGTGCTTGCCCTTTAAACGACCAGACGAAGACCCACATGCATCGTGTAAGCTGTGCTTGGTGTCCGAAAGCGTGTCGTGGATTTCGTGAGCCTATCGGCTTGGAAAGCCTTGCTCAACTGCTCACAGGGGGTTAGCAGGTCACGCAGGGTAAACAACTTAGCCAGCGTGTACACATTGCTCAGCTGCTTGTGAACCGCTCGCCCTTGCGGCCAGTTCTTCTTGTGCTTGTTAAGGAACAAGAGGAGAACGTGGGCGTTCAGGGCAAGAGTCACAACACACTGCATACGGCTAAACCAGCGGGTGGAGTTGTAGACAGGAAACTTCAACCGTGTGCAGCCTCGCTCAGCAGCAAATTTCTTCCACTTCTCACGCATCGTGGACGAACGAAACAGGTTGTGTACGGACTTTAGCAAGGCATCTATTGCAGACATTTGCGGCAACTCATCCTTCACATCCCCCATGACCAGTGCTGTGCGGTGAGCACAGCAATGTATGGCAACCAAAAAGGACAGCTTTTGACGCAGGCGCACAGCAACCCCAGAGTTACGGCCCAGGTACACGCTTGCCCCGTCACTGCCATACCCCACCATTTTCGTCTGATCGAGACGAAGGGCAGCAAGCACAGCTTCAGTGACCAAATAAATGTTCTCTGCTCCCTTGTCAATGATACGCACAGCACAAAGGTACTGAGTGACGGACATGAACGTGTCCGTGTTGAGGTAACGGACATAGAACAAAAGGTGATCTTCTCCCGAAATATCAGTACTACTGTCACACAAAATACTGAAATAAGGACTTTGCAAGATTTTTATCTGCATGGACAGAACGACTTGACTGAGCGCGCGCAGAGCCTTCATAAAGTAGCGGTGGTGGCTGTACTTGTGGCGTACAACATCGACACCAGCGACCGCCAAGAACAGTAGCAGGCTAGGAAGCTTAAGTGCCGGAATGTGCTCCTTTACCATCCACAGAACGCACAGTATCAACATCTGCAGGACACTGGCAAGGCCTGCTGCGACTTGCTGGGCAGCTACACGTGTGGCTTTGTCAATGGGCCCCTGACATGTTGCTGCCTTTGCAATGGACACGGCCTCAACATGGCCGACGCTCTCGTCGTGTTTCTTGAGGTCATTGGAGTCCTTCACGATAGCAGTGCCGTTGATGAACTTCGGGGCACCACCCGACCGCTTGTGCTGCTGACAAATGCTACAGCCACCAATCGCGTGGCCTTGCTTATTTTTGCCGGTTTTCTGCCACCAGGGATACTTATCCGCAAAGGCTGCCTGTCAGACACAGGCGCCTTCGGTAGCTTGCCTGACAAGTCGACCATCTCAGGCGCAGCCTGAGCAGGCGGAAGTTGAGCCTTCATTGGCTGCCCAGGTGCTGCTGCAGTGTATAACAACGATTGCTGGTTAGTTTTCTGACTACATTCATAATAACGATGCAAGACTGTCGGTCGACAAACGTTTGAAATTTGCAGCGACCTTATCGGAACTTACAGTCAGTTTTCGCTGAAAGATGTTCAGCAGCTTTGCCATTACCAGCAGGAGTAGAAGCAACTGGGGATTTCTCTGCATAGGTGTAAACTCCGCATCAGTTCCCCGGGTACTTCCATTACGCCACTATTATTAGAAACTACTATTAGAAACTTACCAGACTCCTTAAAGAAGCCGCGAATCCCGAGGGAGATGCGGGGCACCTTGGTTGGGCGCTCATCATCAGCTGACTCGGGCATGTTTAGCTATGCATATGCTTAGATGTATGAAAATGTGGCATATGCATATGCTTAGATGTATGAAAATGTCTGCGGTACAGGTGCGAAACAGCCGCAATGGACATTTATACTTGTTTGACTGGTGACCAAGCGGGCCTTATACGGCAAGCCCGGTTTCCAGGCCCTGTCTGTATCCGAAAACATGCAACTTTACGCTGAAATATCGTTCGGTTTTTTCCGAAAATGCCTTCAAAATGCTTCGGTGGGGCCCCCGAAAATATGGTCCAAAAGGCCCAAAATCCGTCCGGAATGCTCCGGGGCGCACTAATTTTCCTTTCGGTCAAAATGGAAATATCTCAAAAAAGTTCGGGCCCGAATCGGGGTGAAGAACCCTGGGGTAGTTTGCAGTCGCCAACGCTTCCGCCCACAGTGATTTTGGGAGTCCAGACTCTATGAGCATTGACCTGGCCTTGTCTAGAAGAGTGCGGTTCAGGCGTTCTGCTGCACCGTTCTGCTCAGGAGTGTAGCCCGCCGTAGTTCCGTGCATTATACCCCTTGACGCAAAGTAGTTTTTCGTGCGAGTATTCACAAACTCCCCGCCACGATCCATGCGCACCTCCTTTACCTGCCGACCAGATGCCCGTTCCAGGTCCGCTATCATCACCACCACCTTCTGATATATCTCCTCCTTGGTCGCAGTAAACGCAACAGCTGACAGACCGGTGTGGTCATCAAGAATTGTTGGCTTAGACGCGACGGAGCGAAGCGACCGGCTGGTTCTGTGGTACTGTCGTACAACTGGTTCGCAGTGGCGACTTAATTCTCGCTGCTCTCCTGGTGAAGTCATTCTGCCTTCACGCAGAAGAGCATACAGCCTTGTCCAATTGTCAGTGCGACAGGCTGTACTTGAAGCCTTACCAATTCAAGTTCCGATCTACATCGCTCGAGTTCTTACGATTCCTACTTAGTTCAATTAAATGTCAACTATTAATGATAATGCGCCATCGACTGAGACTGTAGCCACCGTTCCAGGCACATGAGCTGCGCGCGGATTTTATGGCTAACGAGCAGAAGGTGCCGAGAGATGTAATCGGTCACCGCCTGCAAGCCTTTGCAGGCTTTCATCTCGGCCTTCAGCTCATTCGCAGCTACCTTGATGCCGGCTGCTACGAGAAGGCCGCTGAGTGGACAGACCGGCTTCAGCTTAGCGCCGAGATCAGTATGGAGGTAACACACCAGCTAGCCTCAGAGCCCCGCATAGGCCTGACAGCCGCGGATCATTGTTTTAATAACATCATCGGCACACGGATTCCGAAAGGCGAGAAAGCGGAGGCCCTAGTGCGTAAACAGAAGGACTGGGCTCTGCGGACGGCAAGCGCCTCCACGCCTGGCAGTCATGGCGGCAGCCATTCTCGCGGCGCCGGAGGCTCCGGTGGCGGAGGCAGCGGTGCCGGATCGCGCGGCAGCAACCAAAGGGGTGGCGGCCAGCGCGGAGGTCACGAGTACGGCGGAGGTCGCGATGCAGAGCGCTTTGATCGCAGCGATTGCAATAGCCGCAAGGAAGGCCGTAGCAGCAAGTAGTGGTTTTCAGATTCTGGCGCAGTAGAGTGGGGCCAGTTTGCATGTCCTTTTTTCTTGGCTCGTGTGCCGCCCCCCCTTCAATGACTATCGCCGGTTAGTGCAGCATGCACAGGATTTTTTCCTTTTTTTGGTTCGATGAGGTTCCCAGCGAACATCGACTTGGGCACCCGCGCGTGCGATTGAGGCGCCCGTGTGCGCGATAGTCGGCGCCCGCGTGCGCAGTTGTTGGCGCCCGTGTGCGCAGTTTTTTGGCGCCCGCGTGCGCAGTTGTTGGCGCCCGTGTGCGCAGTTTTTTTTTTGGCGCCCGCATGTGCAGTCATTGGCGCCCGCGAGCGCAGTTGTAAGCTTCGTTGACGACTTTCTTTTTACTCGCGGTGTTTTGCCTTCCCGCTTTGTTCCTTTTATTGCTTTCTTATTTTGCGGTTGTGAACAGACCGTCGCACGGGTTCACTCTGTGGCAGCGTTTGCAGTTTCTTCCTTTTCGGATATTTCGCGTCAGGCCAAGTGGCCACTTAAGTCGCCTTGGCAGCCGGCCGGCTGGAAGGACCCGTTTTTTGCCTGTCTTACTCTTTAAGTGTTGCTCCACTTCTCGCCTCGCCGTGTCTCCAACAGTCTGTCCGTGCTCGTATTGAAGAATTGGCGACGGTGACGGCTAACGCTGATTGTTATTTCGGAAGGATTACCGGTGGCGAAGATATTTAGCACGATAAATTGTTACAAGTAATGTAAAGAGTATTGTTAGCGTTCGGCAGGACTTGAGGAGATTCCTGGTAGGAATACCGATCGTTGTGAGATAAACTAATAGGCGCAGTCACCGCCCTAAATACCGGCGCTAGCGGAAAACTCGTACATTCCGCGATCTAACTGCACGTACATTCCGCGATCTCACTGCGCCGTCCAGACGGTGCCCTAATGTCTATCACTTAGCTACCGGATATGCATCGGTAGCCCCATAAGGTTCTGGGGTAAGATTTCCCCATTAGTCAGGTGCAGACCCGGGGTCAAATCCCCTGGTCGACAACCACACGAGTTGGGAGAGGACCGTTTCCTCAACACGCCCCCTCGGGCCGTATCCCAACGAGTACCAAGTTCATCTGCATACTTCACACAAGGCCCATAGCATCTCGGCAACGTTTGAACTTCACCTCGCCCAGAGCCTTTGTTAGTACATCCGCAACCATCCACTCCGTAGGGCAGTATTCCAACTGCACCTCACCGCTATTCACCCTCTCACGCACTATGTGATGCTGCACGTCGATGTGCTTCGACCGAGCAGACGTAATCGGGTTGTTTCCCAAGCTAAGCGCCCCCTGGGAGTCTATCTGGATTTTCACCGCGCTCTCAGGCAAGCTCAAATCAACCATCAGCTTGCGAAGCCACAAAGCCTCACGAACAGCCGCCGCTGTAGCTTGGTACTCAGCCTCCACCGACGAAGCCGCCACAGTACGTTGAAGTTGGCTGCTCCAGCTAATCGCAGCCCCATTAAGAGTGAATACGTAACCGGACGTAGAACGCCGCGTAACTGGGTCTCCTGCCCAGTCCGAATCACTGTACCCGGACATAGCAACGTCGCCAACACCCCCAAAACGCAATCCTAGTTCGCGAGTCCCCGCCAGGTAACGCAGAACGCCAGTTGCCAAGTTCATGGCACACTTCGTGGGTGCCACCATATGCCGGGACAAAACGCTTAATGCATATGAAATGTCAGGCCGCGTGTTCGTCGCTAGATAGTTCAATTCTCCCACCAAAGCCCTATACTCGGTGGGATTGCCCAGCAGCTCCTCTCCGTCCCCCTTAGGAGTGTACCTAAAGCCCGGAGGCAAAGGGGTAGACCTCGGCTTGGCGTCAACCAACTTATGACGCTCCAATAGCTGCGAAATATACCTATGTTGCGACAACACTATTTCACCCGACTTCTCCCTCCTAATTTCCATGCCCAAAAACACCTTCGCTTCTCCAAGGTCGCGCACCTTGAAGACCTTCGCAATTGCAGCTTTAATTGCCCGGACCATTTCCGGGTCTTCAGACGCAACAATAGTGTCATCTACGTGCACCAAAGCAATAACAACCCCACGCTCGTCAGTTTTAACGAACATCGCCGGATCAGACTTCGAAGGATAAAGACCCAACTTGGCGAATTCTGCTGATAGCTTTTCATACCAGCAACGGGGTGCCTGCTTCAACCCGTAAATAGACTTCTGCAGCTTGCACGCAAGCGACCGGTCACTGGATGCATATCCAGGCGGTTGCTCCATCCACAACTCCTCCTTCAGCTCACCATT